AGGATTTATCCAGATCATTAGAAGATGATTCAAATTTAATTTTGTTTGTTAACCTACCTATATTAATGTACGTAACTTGACAAGAAAATAAATGAAAACTAAGAGGACGTCATCGATATCATTAATCTGTGCAATGCCATCTTTGGGAAAACAGTCGAACATTATTTGGGGATTATGCCTCAGATCTTTTGGTGCCCACGAGTGAAATGATGTAGAAAGAAACAACGAAAAGGGTCCCTTTATATAAGAAATAATACAATTGAGGAACCCAAGAAGCATATATTGCAATCTGTGCTTTGCCTCAGTGGAATCACCCCAACAATACTACAAACTAGATTACAAATCTTTGAATAAAAAAAAAAAAGATTAAAAATCTTCTTGTTCTTTCGGCCTGAAATTGTTTCTTTCCTCTTTGGATCCATGCCAATTGCATGCCAAAAGCAAGTTGAGCCACGGCTTGCGTACGTGGTCCACTATTTTATTTGTAACTTGTCCTACACAATCGAAGTAAATTCTTTCTTCTGCAACTAGTTTCTTTTTTTAATTTTTTTTATTACGTACCTTGTGTTAGTTTACTGCAATTGTATGCAATGCTCGAATCCCATATGTATCACAGCAACTAAGTACGTAGCGGACGCAGGTTTTTAGTTTTGTTCTTGTGTTTGGGGCAAATTGAAGTTTATATGTCATTATTAAGAAGAAAATATTAGAGTGAAAACTCAAATATATATTTTATTACATTTAATCTCCAAAATTGTGCCTTTCAATCAAAATAATCTTTAAATTTTCTATTAGTATGGTGATGTGGCAACCAAATAAATTTCAAGTAACCAATAATATGACGCCACATTAATTAATCATAAAAATCAATTTTATTAATATTTTAAAACTAAAATACACAAAACAAAAATAAAAAACGGAAAACAAAAACAAGAAAACACCACCAGCAAGTCAGCAACCCCATATTCAGATCCAATCACAAGAACCCCAATTCCCCTGGGAAAACTACCACTAGCAGCAAGTTTCTCAGCCGTTGTCTCACACCCTCAGCTTCCTCAGCCCCAAGACCATCACGATGACACAGGTGATCTCCGCTGGTTCAGCACCTAAACCCACCAAGCTTTAGATGTGAGGCAATGCCGGATCCAGGATATATGTGGTCAATCAGACAAGGGTGCACATCACACAAATTTTTATTGGACAAAATAGCATTTCATTGAGTTTTGGTAGGCTTGAGGTCATTTGCTAAATCATACTGTAAGCTTGACGACATATGCCACCAACTTTCAAACGAGCATGTCGACTGATGACAATAGTTTTTGAGTGAGCATGTCGAAAAATGCCAACACATGCCGAGTGAGCCCATTGAAAGATGTCATAGCAATGCATACAAAAGCATGAGGTTTGCAACTACCCTACCCAATGCCCATAAAGGCAGTTCGCCGAGCAGGTAGTGGGCAACTTTCAAGGGCATCTCAGATTCTCAAAGGCAACACCCAACTATTCTATGCAAAATTTCTGAGCTGGGGGAAGGGGGGGGGGAGGGTCAGCTGACCCACCTTGTCCCAGGTAGATCGGTCCTTGCTAACGAAAAAAATTAATAGCAAGTTAACAAAAAGACCAAATTGATTTGTGAGAGCTTACAAATGAAATTGATAAATTTTTTATTTTTAATTTCAGGGACCAATCTTGATAAAAATCCCTGAATTTGAGCTAGTGCATTATCGACATGGTTTGAGTTGAAACTTAAATGCCATCTTGCTTGTTGGCATAGACTTCATTTCTATAACTAAAATTGAAACTTATAATTTTTTTGGTGCATTTATAGTTACATGCAAATAAGATAGAGCTTTTGGTACGTGAACGAATACTTTTTTTTTTCCTCCAAAAGTAAAATATAAAAATTGTTTGGTAGGCAAAAAAGTTACAAATATACTAAAGATCAGCTTCTTCCACAATACTACACAATCTGTTCTAGTGTTGTGGATGACTTTTTATATACTACTCTAATCCCAACAGATTTAAGACGAAGAAATCAAAGACAGTCCATTATATTTTACTTTGTTAATTGTTGTACTTTTGTGGCCAGGAATATATAGGATTAATTTTTCTACTTGTACATTTTGTTTTTGTTAACATCACAATAATTGCATCTTAATATATAACTTATTACAAAAGGTAAAACTTTTAATTTTATTTTGTTTTTGGTTGAAAAAGGATAAAACTTAGAACTTGCAACATCAATACAGGTTCTTCCAATAGGGTGTCCATGTGCTGCTCAATCTAGCTAGCTAGGTTCATCCATGTATTGGTTATAAAAAGAAAAGAAAAGAAAAGAAGAAGAAATAAATGAAGGAGCACCAAATATAAAGGTTGGGTTTGCACGTCTGTGACCTCGATGATAAGAATATATTATAACTGTGGTGGATCTGTAACACTATTTTTTCTTTACACAAATTTTTATACTTATTTTTGTGGGCTCTACTTTGTAATATATTTTAATGGTTCGAATCGTCTATCTTTTACGTCTTCGCTCAAATATCACAAAAAATCATCTAAATTTGAATTAAGAGTTTAAGGTTTTTTTGTAGAATCGTATTCGTCAATTTCTTTTACTACAAATGAATGTCTTCATAGTTTAAGATTTGTCTAATTTTTAGCAATGATGATCTATAAACAATGTTTCAAAAGATAGACGATTCATATCGTTGAAATACATTACGCAGCAGTGACCCCACAAAAATGTCTCAAAAATTGTGTAAAAAAATAGTACCACAAATCTGCACCCATTTAATTATAAACACATTGAACAACAATTAAAGGTAACCTTTTATAATTAAACATCGTTGATGTGACTTAATTCTAATAGCATGCATATGTTAAAGACTTTTGTATTAGGGCGTAAACGCCGCACTAACAGATATGATACATGTGAATCTTTCCCTTCCCGGTCATGTGCAGCAAAAGGAGGCAAAAAAGAAAGGAGATGACTATATTAGATTAAAGGGGAGCGTTATTTGCAATTTTCAGAAAACTTCATGCCTCTTTGGAAGTAGTATACGTATAAATAATATATTTTTTAACACTTTTCAGAGAAGGGCAAGAAGCTTTTTGGGAGTGAAAATAGCAGTGCCCTAAAAATACTGGTATCAGATTTCAAGTTTCAATTTAATTCTTCGTTTTTGCAAGAGTATATATATATATATATATATATATATATATATATGATGATTAGCTCTTCTCCTCCCCAGTGCTTTTGTTTGGAATGCTAAACTGACGTTCTATGAAGATCTATTTGTCTTTTTACATCCATGTGTTTGTAATTAGGCATTTTTATAAGTACTAAATATATAAAATAAGCATATGCTCTTAATCAGTGTAGCTAACAAACTTCACAAATAATCTACGGGGGCTTTGAATTTTAGTCGACCTTGATCCTTGATACAATATGATAAGTCAAAGTAGAAACGTGGATTAGCCGACCTTGATCCTTGAAAGATACTGTAACTTGTGTTATCATGCAATGACATTGATCAATATAGCTTTCTTTATGTGCTTAGGTATAAGCCTAATTGTCGCCCTATTAAATATGCGAAGCTCCTTCTCTCCTGCCCAGCAGGTGGGTAGGTATGTCGCAGACGAGAGATTTAAGCACCTTTTACATGCTATAATACTTGTGGAGAAAATCATAGATTTAAGCATTGAGTGTTTAAACGGTATTTCACATGTTATAATACATGTGAAAAAAATAATAGATTGTTTTGTTCCTTCATTTATTTTATGATACGTGAAGTACCTGCTTAAATACCTAACACTATGAAAAATTTTACGTCGCAAACAAAGACTCAAAGCTTTTGTGTGACAGAAATTTGGGTGGTGTGACTGGTGTTTGTATGTAACAATGAAAAAAAAATGTAACAGAGAGCATGCGTAAGCATGTATGTCGGGAACGTTGATTTGGCAATTAAGTAAACTTTTTAATTTTATGTAGAGAATTGTTAAGAAGGTTCTTTTAAAAATTGGATTCTCGACTCTCTGTAATTTCATATTTTTTTATCAAAATATTTATAAGATGGACACAAAAATTAATGTTAAATTGTGAAGTGACAAAAAGTATTATACTTTTGAGTCTCTAGTTGGCATTCTCTTTTATGTATTAAAGTGTGCAACATTTTTTGTTTTTTTTTTGAAGAACAAATGTGCAACGTTTTGTCAGATTTCAAATCCATGGAAAATCGAACTAGACCTCTAACATAAGAAAATGATATATGCACTCAATTTCTTCTTTTTGCACATATTTATTTATGTCCCTTAACTTTTTTGTTTATTTAATTTAAAAATCAATAATAAACAAATATGTGTAAAAAGAAAATAAATTATGTGCTGAAATTACTTTCCTTAACATATGCTTGAACCCATAATCATAAAAGCATCTCTAATGTATTAGAGATTTAGAACTCCAAATATAAAGTAAAACATCTCCAATGCACGGAATACTTAAAAGTTAGGACTCATATTTGAATTTCTAGCGAAATAAGATTGAATTTTGATTCCAACCATTTCAAATGTGCATACCCAAATGGTTAAAACTGAAATTTAGAACTCAAAATATAAGAATAGGTCTAAAATTGGATACCGCCTTATAAATATTATATGTATTTTTTATAATCACTATCTCGATAATAAAATGACCATTGTATCAAACATATATATATATATGTATATATATTCACATAACTATATATACTCGTCAGATAATAATGCATTAAAAACATATAACTAAATATAAGATTTTGAATTGGAGATGAAAACCAAAAGCGACGACCTTTTTAAAACGCGAATATAAGAATATAAATTGCGAAATGCTCTAATTCTTTTTTACCTTATTAATACAATAATCGTTGTTGTAACAAAGTTGATGGGATTACAATCTCTCCCTCTTCTCTCCTCTCCTCTGTATCCCTAGACTGTGGGTCTAGATCCTAGACCAGCTTACCTCACTGACAAAGTTGATTCAACCGACAGTAATAATCTATGGTATATAGACGTCTAACATATGTACCCTCTCTCTTTACTCTCTCTATATATTATCCGCTTAGTGTAGAGTTGGACACCCATCACCAACTTAGTTCACTATATACTGAACAAGAATCAAACCCCCGTCACTCGAGCTTACAACTTTGTCCATGGCAGGAAGCACTTTTTGGCTTGTTCTTCTAATTGGCTTTTTTGGCTTTCTTTTGGGTCTAATTCTAAACCACTTCTTGCCCTTAACGTTGTTAAGGCTTAATGGTACTGCTCCACCTAGGGGCTCTTTTGGGTGGCCTCTGTTGGGAGAAACTCTTAGCTTCTTGAAGCCTCATCCTTCTAATTCTCTTGGTGCCTTCCTTAAACACCATTGTTCTAGGTAATCGAACATCAATATTGCTTAATTCATATATGTTTAAAAATTATTTGTTTAGTTTATACATAACTAATTAAAGGGTTAGAGTTAAATATGGTTAGTTATGTTTTAATTCAGGTATGGGAAAGTGTTCAAATCCCATTTGTTCTTGTCTCCCACAATTGTGTCATGTGATCAAGAGCTGAACTACTTCATACTTCAGAATGAAGGTAAGTTATTTGAATGCAGCTATCCAAAGCCTATCCTTGGCATCCTTGGAAAATCCTCCATGCTTGTGGCTGTGGGTGACACTCACAAAAGGCTCAGAAATGTGGCTGTCTCCTTGGTCACCATCACCAAGACCAAGCCTGAGTTTCTTAGTGACATTGAAGCCACAGCCATTGGCATACTTCACTCTTGGAAAGATAAATCACAAGTCATCTTCTGTGAGGAAGCCAGAAAGGTATTTTTGAGTTATATATTATCATGGATTGGTATATATTTTTCTCTCTTTCTTTTATGTTGATCATATGGTTTAATTACACAAATATTAATTATTTTTGGTTCCACATGCATGCAGTTCACATTTAATGTAATAGTGAAGCAAGTGCTAGGTTTAACCCCAGATGAGCCACAGACTACACAAATTCTTGAAGATTTCCTGACTTTCATGAGAGGGCTCATTTCTCTTCCTCTCTATATTCCTGGAACTCCATATGCTAGAGCTGTTAAGGTACCTAATATACGAATAATGTTTTATGCGAACTTGTTTTGCAAAACAATGTTTATTTTGCCAAACTGTGAATCAGAATCATAAATTTAAATAAAAATCAACATAATTAATGATTGTAAGTATGTTTATATATATTGTTAAATAGTCTAACAAGAGAACATTTTCCTCCAAAATAAAAGTCTCTATATCTTTTTAATACAAAACCAGCTACGTGTATGGGCTCTCTTCTTGTTTATTACAAAAAAGCAGCTAGGCATGTAGTGTGAGAATTATTATTTCTCTTTACAGGCTAGAAAGAGGATATCTTCAACTGTGAAAGTAATCATAGAGGAAAGAAGAAGAAATGCAGATGGGAGCACTAATTATTGTACTAAAAGAAGTGATTTCCTTGAGGTACTTCTGGAAGTTGATACCATATCTGAAGATGAGAAAGCGAGTTTTGTCTTGGATTCTCCATTGGGTGGCTATGAAACCACCTCTCTCTTGATGGCCATGGTAGTTTATTTTCTAGCCCAATCACCATCTGCTTTACAACGATTAAAGGTAATTAATTACCCAAAAACACTTATCTCCTCTTTCATACAAAGCTTAATTAATAAGTTACATTTGATTAACTTTCTTTAATATATCAATTATTTATAATTAATTTCTCGTTTTTGGCTTAGACAAAATGATATTAATTTTTTAATATTTTATTTTTTGATATACAGGTAGAGGATCAGAACATTAGAAGAGTGAAGCAGAAAGATGAGTATCTGACCTGGGAAGACTATAAAAAAAATCGAATTCACCCAAAATGTAGGACAAAAAATCTCATTAATTTTTTTAGTATTTTATTATATAATTGTTCAAGCTTTATTCTTTGTCAGAGATTTAATTTGCACATTTTTTTTTATAATACTTGCATCCCTCTCACAGGGGATGATCTCATTCCCCACTTACAAATAACGTATCTTTATAGTTGAAATTTCATAATTGGCATGTTAAATCTCTTGACCTTCATTTGAAGATCATCTCTATAAAAAAATCATGCGAATTGGATATCGTTCACTCATCTAAATGTATCAAATAAATTAACGGTGTAGGTACCAAGTAGCATATTCATGAAGAAACCGTTGATTTATTTCATACATTTAAATGACAAAACGATATCCAATTAAAATAATTTTTGTAGAGATGATTTTCAAATGACGATTAGAAGAGTGAACAGTCCTGGTTAGAAAACTTTTATAGTAAAAATATGTTATAAGTAAGTGGGAGAATGAGCCCACCCCCAATTGAAGAATGCAAGCATTTACATGTATGTCATTTGCAGGTCATTAACGAAGCTCTCAGATGTGGAAACGTTGTAAAATTTGTGCACCGAAAAGCTCTCAAAGATGTGAAATTTAGAGGTACTAGTACTAAAAAAATGTGATGACACACAATCGAGCATGCAAACATTTTATACTTTATACTTGCAGTGTGTGACGATCGATCTGTTAATTAATTAAACAAAAAATAAGTGGTTTTTTTGTGCAACTTTCTGCAAATTATTTAATTCCATCTGGCTGGAAAGTTTTACCGGTTTTAAGTGGATCTCATTTAGACCCTTCTCTTCATGCAAGTGCTCTTGAGTTTGATCCTTGGAGATGGGAGGTATGATACATATTAAACTCATGAGTCAATCTAATAGGACTTTTCTACAATGGACCATCCAATTTTCATTAATATGATGTTGTCATCACTACATTGTTGATTGCATCTCTCTTATAAGGGTGAGGTGCATAATTCAAGACTACAAGGACATGAAATTAGTCTATTTGTTACTTTGGCCAGTTTCCATTTAATTTTATAGATGAATTATTTTCCATTCAACAACTTTTGTCAACGAATTAATTTGAACTAGGGACCTCATCAAATAGAGTCAAAACAAGGTGCTATTGGATGTAACGATCGTTGACTACTTATACATGAGCATATGGGCCATAAACAACATGAAGTGTAATTGGTAATGTTTGTAGTATATTCTTATTGATATATTATCTATAAACACAATAATGATAATGTGAAAAACATAATTTAGGCAGAAAATAGATCGCCGAACAAGACCTCACAGGTTAAGGATTATTCAGTTGTCTAGCGGTCCAGTTTTCCTCAGCTGTGCTCACAACAAATTATATGCTCTACAGTGCAATTGGGTAAACTAATTGCTCTCAAATGCGAGAGGGTAAACTAATTCCCCGACACCCATCTGGGTAAGCTTTTCAGTGCAAGAGGGTAAACTAATTGTTCTTTAGTGCGAAAGGGTAAACCAATCCCTCGACACCCATATGGGTAAGCTCTTTAGTGCGAAAGGGTAAACTAATTGCTCCCAGTGTGAAAGGCTAAACTAATTCCTCGACACCCATCTGGGTAAGCTCTCCAGTGCAAGAGGGTAAGCCAGTCCCCCGACACCTATCTAGGTAAGCTCTCTAGTGCAAAAGGGTTAACTAATTGCTCTTAAGCACGAGAGGGTAAACTAATTCTCAGACATCCATCTAGGTAAACTTTTCAGTGCAAAAGGGTAAACTAATTGCTCTCCAGTGCGAGAGGGTAAACTAATTCTCCAACGACCATCTGGGTCTGCTCTCCAGAACGAGAGGATAAACTAATTCCCTGACACCCAACTGAGTCTGCTCTCCAGTGCTAGAGGATAAACCAGTTCCTCGATACCCATCTGGGTAAGCTCTCCAGTGCGAGAGGGTAAACCAATTCCCTAACACCCATCTGGGTAAGCTCTCCGATGCAAAAGGATAAACCAATTCTCCGACACCCACCTAGGTCTACTTTTCACCGGAAATGGGCAAACTGCCCATGAATTTCCACACAACTACTCATTTTGATGTGATTAGTTAACGATTTTCATATTCCACAGATCTTTATCATGTTGTGATGTAGGCGACACAGCTCAAATGATCAAATACTCGAATACTAGCTAAGCAACAAATGGTCAGGGGGGTAGCAGCCGACAACGAACTCAACATCTCGACGCCCCAAGAAGCCAAAACTCACGACCATAGTGACTTTGTGGGTTTATCAGCCTTTTTTGAAGCAACGTGCCCAATAGACGGTTTTATGGCTAAAAGTTTTGCGAGACACTTCAACCAAGCTGAGCAGCCTAAACCGTGGCTCGTGCCACGCTACTTCCTCGACCCATGCTGAGCCATCCCTTGGCTCTAGCCAATTTGTGGCCCTTGCCATACCACCTCCTTGGCCCACGCCGAGTTGACTCTTTGCCCTTGCTAGCCAACATGCCGCACCATCCCAAAGGTTACCCCGCGACAACACCACCCTAAAGGTTTCCCCGCGACAGCACCACCCAAGAAGAAGACAAAGAAAATTAAGTTTTTATTACCTTGGTGTGACACAGAGAAGACAAAGAAATCAACGGAAGACGATTCTTTGCATGGGCAAGCGAAGAAAAATATTAGGGGAGGGGGAACAAATATCCTCTTGCTTTCTCTCTTTCTTGTAGTGATAAATGATTGCCCTCTAAAGTTGATTTAATCCCCTACTTGAGGTAGGCTTAAATAGGCTTTAGTGACGATTTATTTCCCTTTCCTAGAAACATCTAATTCCAAGTCCAAGTATATGCATCAAAGTTGGGGATCTCTACATTTACTGCCCTTTCCTGCTAGCAACCCAGCATGTGTGGGGGCATTTGTAGAGCCAAAAATAATCCCAAAAATCGTGGAAGTGACATGTGGAATTTTTGGACAAGAATGACGAGATTACCTTTGGAACACCAGAATTCCCACGCGCATGCAATGGCTAATAACAGATCAATCAAGGAAAAGTAAAAGGTGATCAATATGGAATTTATTTCATATTCCTTTCACCACTCCTCATCAATCCTGTATTGATTTTATTCAAAAGGTAACTCCCAATACTTCTTGTTTAAATTAGGAGTAATTGCTATGTTAACCATTCTCCTAATAATACCCCTCTTATCCCACTAAAATGCTAAGTCATTTACTACCCGAAAACTCCTAAACACATTCTTTTCATAATTCTAACTTTGGCATCGGAGATTCTTTGGCCAAACCACCCCCCCCCAAAATTCATCATGGGTGCGTGAGGCTTTTGGCCTTAATCACATGTGTTATTATTTTGCAGGTGCATTTTTGTCAAAGGAATAGATGACAAAAATTTACATCCACAAATATGTTCTAATTTAAGTCAAATGGTAATGTCACGTGACTGTGTTTATGGTAAACTGAAAAATTGCTTGTGAGTCTGTTTAAGGATGCTGGCAAATTGCAAAATGATCACGCTAAATTTAATAAGTATCAACTAACAAGCATTGTATAGCACACAACTTGATTGACTGGAAAAAAAAGGTCTCTTATGTTGTTATGTAAATGTAATATATATGTTGCTCATGCTTTGTACGATTCGACTCGAAATGTAGTTGTTTTTGTTGTTTTAGAACTAATAGTTAAGTTGAATCCAAAACTTATGTGAGGAAGACAAGAGAGGGAGAGATCAAACTAAGAGATGGAAAAAATGTTTGATGCGCAAAAAGGAACGATGAAGAGGGAGGACAGGATAGTCATATTGAAAACTCATTAACGGCTACTGTTCGGCGGTGTTTGTGCAAAAGCTATTTTTTTACTGCTTTCGATTTTTGCTTTGAATTGTCATGATTTAAAAAAAAAAAAAAAAAACACACACACACACACACACACACAAAGTTTGCTCGAGTTACCAAACACAAATTGGAGTTAACTTTTTTTTACCCCTACTTACAAAAAAAGTTAAGCAGTCCCAAATCAGTACTTAATAAGTTTTATATTTTTTTATAGTAAGTTAGTGAATAAATTTTCAAAATTTGGTACATGACATCATATATGATAAAATTTTTGACTTTTAAAGATGAAAATAAGAATCTTGGGTGTTTATGGACTCAACAAAACTTCTTTTCTCAGTGAACAAACAGTGAAAAGAGGGCTTTGAGAATGGAAAATGCTTGGAAAAAGTTTCATGGCTATAAGGCTGTTGGAAAATGAAACCCTCTACCATTTAATTAGAATGGGATCAGGGACGGCCCAAGGGCAGGCCATGAATTGCGACCGCCAATGAAGAAGGTATATGTAGTCTAACTTCTTTTAGATTATTTCTTCCATTATTTCATTTTTCATATATTCATGTATGTATATCGTTTAATTGAGATAGTCCTAATAAATGACTTTACCCAATTTGTTATATTAGACATAATTAAACATTGAAACATTATTGTGACAGCCCGTTCCGAATTATTTGTACTGTAGGTGTGAAATGACTATTTTGCCCTTGGTAGTTATTTGTCATTTTGGGGTGATTGTTTTGTGGTTTTGTTGGTTGCATCTGGACCACACACTCACCCACATCCACATCATCTCCTTCCCCCATGTATCTCTCTCTGTCTCGAACTCTCTCTCTCTCTTTCTCTCATTCTCACTTATATGGACGAGACTTAAAACCTTTGCAAACGTGACGGATCAAGGTGGAAAATGGTGCCTTTGTGTTCATGAGGATCATACGAGTTCAACCATACCAATTTCAGGTAAGGAATCCTTCGATTTCACGTCGAACCAGGAATCTCCGATTTGATCACTGTTTATGCACACGTGAACTATTGACTTTCAGGGAATTTGAAGCTTTTAGGAAGCTTAGTGAGGTTCTTAGGAAGCTCAGGGTGGTTCGTTTGGTGGAATTGGATGTCGGGATCGTGAGTTGCAAGTTTGGCCGATTTTTCTTGAATTTCTCCGACGACATCTCGTGATCTTTGGGGCTTTAAACAGGTAAGGAAATGTTCTACAAGTTAAGAGCTTCAATTTGGTACTGGTTTCTTGAAATTTGGTTGAAAAACAAGTAAAATATAAAGATTTGAAAATTTTCCAGTTTTTCGGCGACGGCGATAGTACCAGAAGGGTGCCGGAGAAGATAAGGGAATATTTTGTTAAGTTAACAGAATATTCTTAACGGCACCAGGTTAGTTTTAATGGAATCTGTTAGTTTTCACGGAATATTGCCTAACGGCGGTTAGGGAATCCGTTAGTTTTGGCCGCGTGTGGGGGCGCATAGGGCCGTGCCCTCGTGGCGTGTGGTGCCTCGAAAAATTATTTTAAAAATATGGGGATGTTCATGAGGTTGAGTAGATCATGTTGGTGTATCCAAACATCCCATTTGAGCATTGTATGAGAAGTTATTACCTAGTTTTGGTTATGTGCTTTAAATTGACGATTTTATAGTTGTTTCGCATATAGGTAAGACCTATCCTGAGGAGGAGCGCAGTCACTCGAGTCTTGGGGGCTACGACCCTTCCACATACCAGTGAGTGGGCTTTTGGTTTTCCGTAAATACCTATATACTTGTGGTTTTTCCTAGAAAATGAAATGGAATGTATATATGTTTTAAATGCCATGCATAGCATTTGCCTATTTATTTATGCATTAGTAGTTGCATATATGTTTTATTAGTGCTGCGGACGCACAAGTAAGTGCTAGGTAAGTTTATGGTTTATGATTGTGAATTAGTGGATATATGAGATGCATTGAGAGCTCATAACCTGCACCCCCGGTGTTAATGCTCTCGTCCAGAGTAGGGCACAATCCTTCACATGATGTTCACCTCCTGCACCACACGCTCATCTTGGATCCAAGTTAGGTGCACAGTCCTATCGTACAGACTACTATAGGTGGTTCCGACTTGTTGGTGACCCGCAATTATTCGCCCAGTCTTCACGTGATCATAGCACTTGAGCGTATTTATTTACACCCAGTCCTGTCATACAGACCACTTTAGGTGGTTCCGACTCGTGTGCAGGTATAGTTAGTGAGTTGGGGATTTGAGCTCTAGATTCAGCCGTACAGGTCACATTAGGTAACTCCGGCTGACATGTTACTTGCATTGATTGACATTACCTGGGCTACTTACATTTTATGTGGAGGCAATCAACATGGCATATTTCTGAACATGTTTTCGATATATGTGTATATTCTATTTTCTAGGAAACTATACAGGTTTTACATCGAGGGGTTATAACTTTTGATAATGATATGATTTTGAAAAACTTTGTTTTTGCCTACTCACACTTTCTGTTTTGCGTCCTTCCAGGTTCTAGTTAGAAGCAGCTTTGGTGGTTCACGAGGACTTGACGGTGGTTCTGAGAGAACATCACAAATGTAGGATCACCTTTGGGTGTTGTGTATTTAGTATTTGTTCTTCTGGACTGCACTTAGGTTTTCTGTGCTCTGATTATGTTTGTCACACTTAGTCTCACACTAGTGTATTACTTTAATTATTCGTACTTTAATTGTTATCTTTTGCTTCCACACTGTTCACATGGCTACGTCACCCTCACGCCTTGATTTCGGTCAGGACGTGTCATTATCCTGAAAGGCTTATTTTCAAGATTGACTTTTAGGACAGATCTCCAATAACAATGTCATATAGCTTGTGCAGAACACAACTATGCACTTGTTTCATGCAAGTCATTTTGTAGATTCAAGTATGCAACTGGTTGATATAAATTTTGTTTACAATTACACAAACAAAACATGAGAAAAATAAATAAAAGGGTTGTTAACACAAATGGTCATTGAAATTGAAGATCGATTAAAGTCGCAAATCAATATGATCACGTCATAATTCTATCAAACTTTTTTAGTTATGTGTTGATTTGACACATAACTAAGTTCCAACAAGCCTAATTTTAGGTTTTGCTAGTTTTGGTGCTTGACGTTTTGCTTTCTTTCAGGGGTAAGGTACTTGCCCTTCCACTCTTTGTTTATACTTTTATTCTATTTAATAAATTTATTCCCATCTTTCCATTATCGCATGTTAGAATGAATTTGACTTTGTTGTTTATTAAAAAAAAAAAAGTTGAAAAGGTCATACAAATTGGAAATAAGAGGAAACAGATCCTTTTCGGATCTCTTCCATTAAGATTACCAGATTAAGTGATCTAGATCTTTAAAATTTTATCCAACGGTAAAAAATTATTATAGCTTTTAAGGAATCAAAATAGGTGAGCCGTTAGATAAAATTTCAAAGGTTCGGATTACTTAATTTGATGGCCTTAGTGGAAAACATCTGGAGATGATCTTTTTCCATTAATAATGATATCTACTTCCTTCCATATGGGGTCATCTATGGATAGTGATGTGTTCAGGTTGAGAAATTTTTCATTGTGATGAGAATATGAATGGTACACTACGTGTTTTTATGTAAATGATGAGAAATTTTATTTTTTAAGTTGTTAACTTTTTTATAGTAACACATGGTGTACCACCCCGTATACCGATCATATTGAAAAATCTTCCGTTCAGGTCAATCACGACATATTGAATTAGTACAAATGGCATGAAGAAGTAAGATTTTCTTTCCTCTTATTTTCATTTCCTTCCCTTTCTGCCTCTCATACTTTGCTTTTTGTCTTATTGTTTCTATAAAATATCAATATAAAATATCAATATAAGATATCATGTAGGAAGATAGGAAAGATAAGATAGATTAGAAAATGAGAGAATCCTTGTCCGCAAGTGAACCTGTTGAACTTTGCTTAGGAACAGTGTTTTTCTCATTGCGCTTTAGTATATATAATTTGACTTTGTTGTTTATTAAAAAAAAAAAGTTGAAAAGGTCAAACAAGTTGGAAATAAGAGGAAATTAAAAATTAATAATGGAAAGAAATCCTTACCGGATTTCTTCCATTAAGACTACAGGATCAAGTGATCTGAACCTTTGAAATTTTATCCAACAGTAAAAAATTATTATAGCTTTTAAGGGATCAAAATAGGTGATCCGTTAGATAAAATTTCAAATGTTCGGATCACTTGATCTGATGGCCTTGGTGGAAAAGATTTGGAGAGGATCTCTTTCCATTAATAATGGTATCTACTTCCTTCCTTCTAGGATCATCTATGGATAATGATGTGTTCAGGTTGAGAAATTTTTCATTGTGACGAGAATATGGATGATATACTACGTGTTTTTATCTAAATGATGAAAAATTTTATTTTTTAAGTTATTAACTTTTTTATAGTAACACATGGTGTACCACCCCGTATACTGGTCATACTAAAAAATATCTCGTTCAGGATAATCACGACATATTCAATTAGTACAAATTTTGGCATAAAGAAGTAAGATTGTCTCTCCTCCTATTTTCATTTCCTTCCCTTTCTTTCTCTCATACTTTACTTTTTGTCTTATTGTTTTTATAAAATCTCAATATAAAATATCAATATAAGATATCATGTAGGAAGATAGGAAAGATAAGATAGATTAGAAAAAGAGAGAATCCCCGTCCCCAAGTGAACATGTTGAAAGGTACCCAAGTACAGAAGTCGTCACTACGTACGTTAACGGAGGTGATCACGCATGCTCTTGCGTCACCCAAAAACCTGCATGTAAGTCTATAAATAGTGAAATAGCGTCTCCTATGACAACCAAAACCCAAAAACTTAAACTGTTCACCAAGATAAAAAACCCAAAAACCTAGAGCAAAACGACTTTTTTCTCAACAATCTCTTTAATTTCTTCCCAATTTCTGGGGAGCCCTCTGCATATTTACAACAAATTATTAAGGGTCCCAATTATTAAGCATGAGCTCACAGACGAGTAGTGTGAATGAAAACTGCTTGGGATGGGCTGCAACTGATGAATCTGGAGTTCTCTCGCCGTACAAGTTTACCCGAAGGTAACTAAATTTGTTTCAGTTTTAACAAAACAGAAACCGAAAAATGTGAACAGGATTTTTTTTTTTTTTTTTTTTTTTTTTTTTTGTGGAGTACGTCGATATTTTTACACTAAAAAGAGGAAAAGTTTGGCCTAAGCCACAAAGTGGGTAGCTTAAGTTGGTATTGAATTCATTATCTACGAGATTCAAACTTAAGATCTCTCACTTCCTAGTGAAGAGAAATACCATCAGACTGTAATACTAAGTGGCTGTGAACTGAGTTATATATGTACGTTATTGGATGGCTAGATAAGCATAACTTGCAAGACTAGCCATAATTAGGCATACAACTCACATAAAATACATATTGTTCTTGTATTAATTAAAGACAACTACCATTACGTCAATGACTAGTAGGAGTGTGTATCTATATATATATATATATATTTTGGCTGCGAACTGAGTTATATATGTACGTTATTGGATGGCTAGATAAGCGTAACTTGCAAGACTAGCCATAATTAGGCATACAACTCACATAAAATACATATTGTTCTTGTATTAACTAGAGACAACTACCATTACGTCAACAACTAGTAGGAGTGTGTATCTACATATATATATATATATATATTTTTTTTTTTTTTTCTTTGCTTGATTTCACCTGGTTGATACCAAAACTTTAGTGGTATTCACTCCTTTGAAGTGATCTGCTAGAAGTAGAAAGAAGTATAGTGCCATTCGTTTTTATAAACACAACGCCCTTAATTTGTTATACTGATAGCAATGCAGTCTTTGAACTAATATAAAACATTGGTGTGATATCTTCCCCAAAGTTAGTGGCAATGCAGTCTTTGAACTAATATAAAATATTGATGGAAAATAATTAAGAAATAAATCTCTCATCCTTAGGCCTAATAAAGTTCGATGCAGCTAGATCACGAATTGAAATCCGGATACAATTATCTAAAGTACGCTAAATGACTACTATATTGAATTTACATGCTATATATGTAATATTGATAGTTTTAATTAAACGAAGGTTGAGTTAATGTATTCAGGAATCTTCAAAACGATGATGTTTCGATAAGAATTACGCACTGCGGAATTTGTTATGCTGATGTGGGTTTTCCAAGGAACAAGGCTGGCAACGCCATGTATCCAATGGTGCCTGGGTATGTCGAATGATTTATTATGTTACATATATGATTGTCATTACGTATATTTCCTTGAACTGACCTATGTTGTCTATGATTGATTGTACAACAGACATGAGATTGCTGGCATTGTTCAAGAGGTTGGTCCAAATGTTCACGGCTTCAAAGTTGGTGATCATGTTGGAGTGGGAACTTTTGTTAATTCTTGTAGAGATTGCGACTATTGTAGAGATGGCCAAGAGATTTCCTGTGAAAAGGGAGCAATTTACACTTATAACCATGTTGATGCTGATGGCACGATTACAAAAGGAGGGTTTTCCAGTTACATTGTTGCTCATGAAAGGTTAGTATTCTCCATGTCAAATGTAATGTGTCAACCTGTACTTCTGTATCATCATCTATTAGGATATGTTTAGTTTATGGTTTTAGATTTTGTGACCATCGACCCTGCGTATTTGCAATAACTGCAATGCGAGTGCCTAGACTTACAGTGTCTTAATGCTCAAGAAATCCGGAAACAGTACGAATCTATCCGGAAACAGTATGATATGTTAAATTTATGGTTTTAGATTTTGTGACTGTCGAGTGTCGACCCTGCGTATTTGCAATAACTGCAATGCGAGTGCCTAGATTTATAGTGTCTACATAATTAATGGCTTAATGCTTAAGAAATTCGGAAATAGTACGAATCTGTCATAGATGAGGACGTTAACTTTGTTCTTGAAATTATTATAGGTACTGCTTCAAGATACCAGAGGGCTACCCCTTGGCTTCTGCAGCACCTCTGCTTTGTGCCGGCATTACTGTTTACTCTCCAATGATCCGCCATAAAATGAACCAGGACGGTAAATCACTAGGTGTGATTGGCCTTGGTGGTCTCGGACACTTGGCAGTGAAATTTGGGAAGGCTTTTGGACTAAACGTGACAGTTTTCAGCACAAGCTTATCAAAGAAGGAGGAAGCTCTAAGTCTGCTTGGTGCAGACAATTTCGTTGTCTCATCCAACCAAGAGGAAATGACGGTAAAATTTCACAAGTTGATATAATTGTTTACGGCAAATTGATTCGTGCAATTTAGTTTTGTGTGTGCATTCCGTTTTGTTTCCCATTCCAGTCTTTCGCGACACTTAGCATACGAATTTTTATTCATCTGATTTTGTTATATCGACGATTTTTACTGTTTATGCAGGCCCTGGCTAAGTCGCTTGACTTCATCATCGATACAGCATCTGGTGATCATCCATTTGATTTGTATATGTCTCTGCTGAAGACTGCTGGTGTTCTAGTCTTGGTTGGGGCACCAACCGAAGTTAAATTAAGTCCCATGAGCTTGATTATTGGTATGTTAACACTTTTAATACTCACAACTTTCTTTTTTAAGACAAAAATTATAGATCGTTTTACAAAATATATTGACTATTTATCAGGTATGAAGTCAATTTCTGGTAGCGTAACGGGAGGTACAAAACAGACGCAGGAAATGTTAGACTTTTGTGCTGCTCACAAAATTTATCCAAACATAGAAATAGTTCCAATTCAGTATGTGAATGAAGCTCTTGAGAGGCTGATCAAGAGGGATGTGAAGTACCGTTTTGTTATAGATGTTGAAAACTCCCTAAAATGATGAGGAATCGATATTTCTCTTTGAATTCATTGAGAACTTGGTATGAGGATGAAGAAGTTGGTATGCAACAGGGTTGCGGTTAATTTTTCAGTTTTTGTATTTTTTTATTTTTTTTCTTTTGTTGCTAAGAAGCGAATGTTGCCCTACTTTGATATTTGTTATACGTGGAAGTGTTTGTACTCAATTTTAAGTAACATGTGATGTGAGTGAGTTAGAACTTTAAAGAATTATATGAAATAAATAAATGAGTTTAGCCATATATCACAATAAATTCTTGTTTTTAGCTTGAATAGATTGGCACCACTACGTGTATCGCCAACAATGTACTCATGTATCACATTGAGTTTTCCATTTTTTTTATCACTTTAAAATTTACCTTGAGATTTGATTTCATTTTGCTTTCGGTCCATGGATTAATTAGAGGAAATTTAAAAAGCCCAGTTAAGCAATTGTTCTTCAAGTAGAGGATAAGCAATCCATGTTAGGAAAAGCGGGCATTTGGGCTGATATGTCTTGTAATCCTCCTATTTGTAACTGAGCGCCAGAGTTGAAATTATAAATATGCCTCATACAATTTTCTTTTTGTTTGACTTTCAATTCTTCCTTAGCCCTCTAATTATTTAAAGCGTGACAATTGGCTTTAAACTATCAAATTGTCATGTAGACCGAATAATGAAGAGCTAACTACGTTTTTTTAGTGGATGCGGGTGTGTCAACTTGAGACTGAGTTCGATCGAGTGAGTAGAATAGATGTGGTGGTGGTGTTGAATGCGTTGCTAACTTTTGTATTCAAGCGATCACGGGTGAGGAAGGAACATGTCTTGGCCTTGGGTTTTAGAACCTAAATACAAGGTTGCTAGTCACTGCGAAGTTCAAATAAGGTTCAACTTTAAATGTGCTGAACACTGAGAAATCTGGTAACACCTCATCACCAAGAGGGTAGTGAGATGATCTCTTTCACTAAGAAAACCAATGGCTCCTCGATGGCAAAGACTTGGATAAGTAACTAGCCAAACTCAAAGTAGTGCTATTAATCTAAACTGAAGGAATTTCTCAGTCCCCTGATTCTATAGCTCCAGTGTTATTAATCCAAATTGAAGATGTCGTCAGTTGTCAACATAGTGTTGTTACTCCAATCTGAAGTTGACGAAGCAGTTAGGTGAGTTAGTGACTTCTCAGAGTACGAGAAGTATTAGCATAGAGCGAGGTTTTGCGCATGGTGTTTGTGTGTTGAGTTGAAGAACCACTTCCATTTATAAGGTAGGATTTCATGGTGACCAAGCTAGCTGAAGTAGAATCCTAATAGAACTATATTTCTTCGGTGCTTTTCTAGATATCTATGATATTATCCTTTCACTAAACAAAACAAATCCGCACATGGTCTCGACCACTTCAACTTGAACTAGGATTCTGAACCTAGCCGTCTTATGGATTAAATTCACTTGTTATTTGATCAGTCACAAGTCTTGACTCTTGTAATAATTCGAATCTTACCAATATCTACCATGATCCTTAGCAATTTCAATTTAATTAGAACTCGATCGAATCATTCCTTCCATGGCTGAACATCACCTGACTTGAGAAATCAGTATTGGGCAGAGAACCACAACCTTTTAACCCAGTCATCTCTCTTTTGCCCAAACCTAATATTTAAGGCCAAAACAGGTATGCGTTGAGAAATATGAGTAATCAATGATCCAATCATATTAGATAACAATAGCCTCAATTTTCTCTTCTATTGCATGATTGTGCATCAACCTGGTGGTTGGAAAATAACCATCTTCAGGTGTGAAGGTGAGAGGGGAGACAAAAAAAGGACAGACTGAAATAATGGCTGCATCACATTTTTTTTTTTTGAACAAACGATAATATGCTATGGGAGTGGGGGAGTGGGCTAATCTTCACACTGGGGCTAGTCATAATAATGTGGTTCAAATTCCCTTTTGGCAAGAATCGAAACTAAGACCTTTCACTTACAAGTGAAGAGAAATACTGCTAGACTGTAGTAGTAATTGGCAATGATTGCGTCACATTTGAGTGTTTATGAAAATTTTGTATTGCCAAGGGCCTAACTTAGTTTTTGCCCTAGGATCCTTAATTAGCCGTAACCAGCCCTAGATGGGATGGCAAACAATAACTACGTTTTTCTTATGATCAATGCCCCTATTAATTGCATATTTAGAATTTGAAATTTGGGCTTTTGTGTGAATGGGTACACCGATATCATGGTGTCATGAACTAATCATACAATGTTACATAGCTTGTGCGGGGCTTCACGATAACACTGCACTTGTTTCAAGCAAGTCATTTTGTAAATTCAAATATGCAACTGGAAATGAAATAAATTTTGTTTTCAATTTACACATACGAAATATGGGAAAAAAAAGAAAAGAAAATGATACGGGTAATTACCAAAGGCGGGTAAAGAATCTTACATTTCTCAACTCCTGGGAAGAGACACGGGAATTTGTTATGCTGATGTGGTTTTTCCAAGGAACAAGCATGGCAACGCCATGTATCCAATGGTGCCTGTGTATGTCGAATGATTTATTATGTTACATATATGATTGTCATTACGTATATTTCCTTGAACTGACCTATGTTGTCTATGATTGATTGTACAACAGACATGAGATTGCTGGCATTGTTCAAGAGGTTGGTCCAAATGTTCACGGCTTCAAAGTTGGTGATCATGTTGGAGTGGGAACTTTTGTTAATTCTTGTAGAGATTGCGACTATTGTAGAGATGGCCAAGAGATTTCCTGTGAAAAAGGAGCAATTTTCACTTATAACCATGTTGATGCTGATGGCACGATTACAAAAGGAGGGTTTTCCAGTTACATTGTTGCTCATGAGAGGTTAGTATTCTCCATGTCAAATGTAATGTGTCAACCTGTACTTCTGTATCATCATCTATTAGGATATGTTTAGTTTATTGTTTTAGATTTTGTGACCATCGACCCTGCGTATTTGCAATAACTGCAACGTCTTAATGCTCAAGAAATCCGGAAACAGTACGAATCTATCACAAATGAGGATGTTAACTTTGTTCTTGAAATTATTATAGGTACTGCTTCAAGATACCAGAGGGCTACCCCTTGGCTTCTGCAGCACCTCTGCTTTGCGCCGGCATTACTGTTTATGCTCCAATGATCCGCCATAAAATGAACCAGGCCGGAAAATCACTTGGTGTGATTGGCCTTGGTGGTCTCGGACACTTGGCAGTGAAATTTGGGAAGGCGTTCGGACTAAACGTGACAGTTTTCAGCACAAGCTTATCAAAGAAAGAGGAAGCTCTAACTCTGCTTGGTGCAAACAATTTCGTTGTCTCATCCAACCAAGAAAAAAAGACGGTAAAATTTGACAAAGCTGATACAACTCTTTACGACAAAATGTTTCGTGGAATTTAGTTTCGTGTTTACAAAATTTGTCTTAGCATACGAACTTTTGTTCATCTGATATTGTTATATCTAAGGTTTTTACTATTTAATTATGCAGGCCCTGGCTAAGTCACTTGACTTCATCGTCGACATAAATTGATATTTCGCTTCGAATTCATTGAGAATTGATACGAGGAAGAAGAAGGTGTGTAACAGGGTTGTGGTTAATTTTCAGTTTCTGTTTTTGCTAAGAAGGGTTGTGGTTAAATCACAGGCCACAGAATCTCAACAACAGAATTTCATTAAAGCCGAATCTAACGGTCAAGAGGGTGTCCCCATTTTTTTTGACAAATGGAGATCTCTCCCTTAATGGCTTCCTATATATATGATTTTTAATAGTATGTGAGTGAGTTTGAACTTCAGAGAATCTAATAAAAATAAATAATGAGTTTAATCATATATCACGATAAATTCTTGTTCATTGAATGAATTAGTAACATCACGTGCAACGGTCATGCCAATAATATACTCATGTATCACATTCGTTCTTATATTTGAGCTTTCCATTTTTTAGTCACTTTTATATCGACCTCAAGATTTGATTTTATTTTTGACTTCGGTCTAGGGATTAATTACATGAAATTTCAGGAGCCCAGTCCAGCAATGGTTCATAGGGCAGAGGATGAGCAGTCCATGTTAGGAAAATAGGCATTTGGGGTGATGTGTCCTATAATCCTCCTGCTTGTATCTGAAGCCTTCCACAAATTACTTATTTAAGAAAGTTGAAATTAGAAATGCTTCATGAACTTACAACTTTCTTTCGATTTGCTTGTTCAACTTTTATTTTATTCTTAACTCTCTAATTATTTAACGCGTACCAATTGGTCCCAAACAACTGTCATATTTTTTATTTGTTCTCCCCACTTGAATGAACAAAAATAACTCTTAATTTGATGAAAAAATGTAGCACTATAAAGCAAATTGACACATTCTAAAAGATTAGTAATTGTCATAACCAAATTGAAAGTAGAGAGAACAAATCTGAAGACTCAAGGTCATGTTGCATCCCTAAACTTTTCCCTTTTAAAGCAGAAAATAATTCGAAACTATTTTGTTTAGAAGTATAGTGTACCAGCTTCTGCCTATTTTGATTTCAATCCAACCCCAACCCCAACCCCCACCCCTTAACTCTTTTTGTTGTTCGACCCCACCCTGGCAACCCTTGGATAAAGACCATTTTCCACCATACACGCACGGGTGTGACCTGCATAAAATTTCCTTCATATTAGTTTTGCCCACGAGTAATGATTCTCTCATCTTTCTGGGACCACAAGGATTGCACGTGCAATCACTCACTTCATTACTTCTAATCGTTGTCACAACGTGCAATCACTCACTTCATTACTTCTAATCACTGTCACAACTTAACATTATGTTTGGACAAAGGGAAATAAACTTAGAATTTAAGTAAAAATCAGAATTTATAAATTGACATGTATCAATTCCCTTGTTTGGATTCATAAACATAGAAATTTAAAATTTCAGCTTGGAAAAAAAAACTTAGAGTTTGGAATCTCCAATTTCCGAGTTTAAATTATATGTAAATAAGCGCCATTTCTTAATTTTTATGATTGAGAGTTTAAAATAACAAATTTCGTATTCAATTCATTGTTCTTTTAGGTTAACCAAACAAGAAAATTCACAAATTCTAGAAAATAAAATCTCGTCATTTCAATTTCTCTCATTTTAAAATTCCTTAGTAATCTTAAATTTCTTCATCCAAACATAGTGTAAGTGTTCAATTGATAATTATTTTGTTTCTTATTTTTTGATTTTACTATTTGTGCTAGCTAATGATAGATGAAATATTTGAAAAAAAAAAAAAGGAAAATGTTAGGAAGACTAAATTTTTAAATCAAATTTGTAAACTAAATCACAGGTCACCAATAAGAAATAAGCACGTTAATCGAGATTTAAGTAACAATTCAATCATCAACATCCACATTATTTGGTTTACAAAATTTGGTTTAGAAATTTGGTCTCCCTAACATTACACAAATTGGATAGAAAAAAACTCAAGGGGTTGATATAGTGAAAAGTGACTATAGGTTAGAATCTCTAACTCGAGTTCAAACTCTAGGGATGCATTCTTTGGTGCCACTGACTTTGCTTTGGCGGCATACCGTTTGACCCGGAGGATAAAAATATGATGTCGACTCATGTGGTATCGAGAGATTAGTCCGACACTAATATGTTGTGCAATACCTCTTATATTAAAGAAACTCGAAAACTATTTTAAAGTTGTTTTCACTTTTTAATTTTTGTTTTCATTCTTTCTTAATACTTCTTCCCTTAGCAATTAAATGAAAAACTTTAATGCTACTAACTTTACCAAAACAAAACAAAAAGAGTAGTGATATCCATATACCCATTTTTACTCCTCTCACACCTCTCTCAATTTCTGGTCATGAGATCAAATGAATTAAAAAAGATTAATGGTAAAAAATTAACAAGGATGTGTGAAAGGTAAAAACATGTGCGTGAATAGCACTTTCCAACAAAAAGAACACTACAACATTACCAATAATGTTACATAACCCAAATAAACTACATTTTGTTAGACTTAAGTCACAAATATTCATTTGTAAAAAACTTACCCTAAAGTTTAATAGACAAGAAATAAAAATACTTATGGGTCACAAAAATCCCCTAAGATTTGAAAACGAAAATTCCCTTACACTTCAATAAACTAAATTGCTAACTAATTAACTTTTTCAACACATTGAAGATGCAAATAAAAAATATAAACAAAATAGTTATTAAACAAGCCCTAAACTATCTATGTTAACATTATCAGAAATTATCGATGACATGTTGGCAAGTTTGTTGTCAAATATCAAGACATATATTTGATATCAAAACATAATTGATGGTATTAATATTGACAGTCGTTCAATAGTGGGACTAAATACGATATCAAGACATATATTATCTGGATGAGACATCAAAGCTCCATTCCTTGAAGGGCGCATCTTGAAGTTAACTTGAGATTTATTAGCATTTATTTTCTTCAATATGGTACATGCATGGGGAAGTATCTGCTAACACCTTAGCTTGGGGAGCACATACATGCATATGGTCCTAAGTACTTCCAGTGCTGGCACATAATCCTAAATGTGGCTTCGACTCTTTTAATTAGGGTTTATTGAGGTAAAGATTAAGAAACAACACCAATTAGGGTTACCTAAATATTTAAAGGGGTTTTTGTATCTAGATCCAAAAACATAGGTAGTTTTTGGGACTGAGTCCAGTTATCTAATTACATATTTTGATATCAATTTTGCCCCTTCAGATAAATATATTTAATTTCTTTAAATTTTTTTTTTATCATTTATTCAGTTTTTAAATTTTGAATATTTAAATACTTAAACTAAAATATTATCTAGTAACTACCTACGATTTATGAAGAAAACAAAACCGATATAATCTAGTAACTACCTATTGTATAGGAAGAAAAATGCTTTATACCTACAAAGCAGATATAATCTACCTGCAAAACAAAAATAAACTACCTATTGTATTGGAAGAAGCGGAACATATATAGAAATATAAATATGATATGATGTATCTCCATTAAAGGAACGAATTTAGAGAGAAGAACACAAAAATATCACCCATGAAAAGAAGAGACAAAAAAGAGGAGGATTGATTCCATGATCTAACAGAGAGAATTGTTTGGAAGAAGGGAAAGAGGGGGGATGAAACAGACTGGTGGTTGAGGTGATTATATGCCTATAGCTAATCCTACAATTAAGGAATTAGTTAAACCACAAATAATCCCATAATTAAGAAATTTTGTGTATTTACTATAATTCATAAGTCTAAGGGGTAAATATGGTATAAACCACAAATAAGCATACGTGGAATCTCAATTATTGGACCTATTTCAATGGAGTGGACTAATCCTACTAATGGCTCACAAAATTGGATTTATATCCAGTTATCCCATATTTTTTAAATGTCACCTCCAAGTTTTTGAACTTCATGTGACAAAGGTTATTTTGATGTATGAAGTGTTTAATCAATCAATGTACTCGTTTGAAAATCAGGAAAAAAATAAAAAATATTTGGCCGTAGTTTGGAATTTTTCTCCGGGTGACACATGAAAATCTCTCATAGAGAGGCAGATTCCACAAGACAATTGTATGACAATTTTGTACTCTGTCTTAATAGGGAAACGGATTACTTCTTATTAATATATGATTGGATTCTTCGAGTTATATAGTCACAATCACAAGATTGCAAGGAGGATAGTGTTGTATAGATATCTATGACAGGATAGTGTTGTATAGATATCTATGACATGATATGGATCTGATGTACGCGTGAGAGAGATTTTTATCTCCTCTATATAAAAATTTGATTATCTGCAACTTTATTTCATCAAGAACAGATGGGGCAAGATAATCTGAAGTTTGAATAGAAAGATGATGCTGGTGTTACTTGTTAGTGTATAAGACATACATATACATATTAACTCTATAAGACCAACTCCAATGATTGAAGTAAAAATTTAAATTTTTAGCCCAAAAAATTTAGGTTGTAACTTAAAAACAGTTTTTTTTTATTTTATTTTTTATTTAAATAAGAATCCGAAGTTGTTGAAGAATGATTTTTAACCTTTTTTTTGTAGCTTTTTTTTTTTTAAGTAAAATTTATGTAGATTATCCTAATTTATTTTTATAGACATTTTGTCCCAAAAATATTTAGATTATAATAAAAAATAAAAAATCACTAAACCTACCTCATTCTTTCACATTTGTCCATGTTATTTGCCACATGAAATAACATGGACAAATACACAACCTACCCATTCTTAAACACAAATACATAGGTGGGTAGAAAGAAAAAGAAGAAGAATCGTTTGACAAAAGTGAATTTTGTGTGGATGTTTGAACAAATACATAGGTATTTATAGAATTTCTAAGTGATTATGATTTATATAATGTTTTTAATTGTTTTCGCTATTGGACTTAACTTTGGGTTATTAGATCTTTTCTTTACTATTAGATTTGCTAATATTCAATCTCCATCATTGATAAATTTGATTTTTCTAAAAAAATTGAATTTGACCCGCTGGTTGAATCAACAGTCCAACCATGTAAGCCGTCTGATAAAAAAAAATCGTTGATTTTTTTCAAAAGTCACCAACAACGTCGACAATGTTGTAAATAGTGGGTATGTTTGCCCACATGTGTATGGTAAAGACTCATATCCTAAATAGTAACCCGTTTGTAAGTTTCCTTTGAAGTGGCTCTATAAATAAGAGCACTTCGATTGTTCAAAGTGGAAAAACACAGAAAAGAGAAAAGAAAGAAATATCCTACCTTCAGTAACTCTTATTTTCACACTTGCAATAATTTTGTGGTAGTATTAAAAAAACTAAACAGTGTAATATTTGCACCCGCTTCACCCTTGCTCTTAGCAAAGGTTATTTCTCTAACTTTTGCCTATTTATAACGCGTTATCAACACGAGTCTCTAACCATTTCTCATTTCTCTTCGCCGAAAGAAAAGAAAAAAAATGTTTCCTCTAAGAATTTTACTGTTCTTCATTTTCCTCTGCCTCAACTGTTGGATATATCCTCGCGAAGAACTGTTTGCACCATGCTTGCTTTTAGTTCTTAACATAACAGTTATTTATATCTTTGATTTCTTATTTGGTGTAGTTATTGACTACTAACCCAGTGTTTATTTATGCAATCAAAGATGGTGCGGTATCATTGCCTATCTTGGACTGCAGATTTAATTTTACTGTAATTTTAGATGAAGCGATATGATTGCCCATCCTGTCCTGCATATTTAATTTTATTGCAATTTTAGGTGGTGTGGAATAATCACCCACCCTGCTCTGCACATTTAAATTTTATCGCAATTTTAGGTGGTGCGGTATAATTGTGCACCCTGCTTTGTATATTTAAATTCTCCTGTTGTTTAAAGTGGTGTGGAATAATCGCCTTTCTCATTAATCATGTAAATCTCGAGCCTGAAGTTTCGAGTACTTACCATTTTGGCATGAAGATCAAAATGAAAAATTTGTAAGATCTAAAAGTTCTAACAAAATATTCCTCCATAATACATATTATTGTAAGTTTTTACACACCTCAATTTTCTTTTAGAAAAGAAAATAGCGAACTTGGCAAAACTTGATTTTGTTACCCTGAATATTACTGGAAAGAATTACCTTACCTGGGTAATGGATGCCAAGATTCATCTGGAGGCAGGAAATCTTGGGGAAACCATTAAGGAGGATAACAGTGCATCCTCTCAAGATCAGGCGAATGCCATAATCTTTCTCCGTCGCCACCTTGATGAAGGACTGAATATCAAGTACCTCATTGTGAACACGAAAGTTCCTTGAAACAAGAAACAAGAATAACGTGTACAAAATAATATTTTTTGGTTTGATGATTTTGGGGTTACGATCTCTCTCAAATTTGGTCCTCTGATTCTATCTTCGTAGGGTGTAGGTTTGTGGATGAGTTGTTGATCCAAAGGGCCGTCGGGGCTTGATCTAAGGATGAACAGTTGATGAACGGATGAACACTTTCTTCAAGGGCCGTCGGGGCTTGATCTTGAATAATGGTTGTGTGGATTTGTTGAGGTTGTTGATCCAAAGGGCCGTTGGGGCTTGATCTTAGGATGAACGGAGGATGAACAATGAACACTTTCTTCAAGGGCCGTCGGGGCTTGATCTTGAGTTGGTGGAAGTTCTTCAAGGGCCGTTGGGGCTTGATCTTGAAGGAGGATTTGCAAAGAACGAAGAGTGCTTTCTTGATCCTTCGGGATTTTCTTGAGAGCTTTAGAACTTAAGGCTTCAAGGTTTTGGTGTGTAGAGAAATGTATTTGTGAATTGGTTGATGCTTGATACCTTGATGGAGAAGCCTATTTATAGGCTTTGAGAATGAATCACCACCACAAAATATTTTTTTCCTTTCCAAGCACCATTGCCTAATTTTCCCACTTAATGCAATATTGAAATTGAAGTGGTGTAACTTATGGCCTAATTTCCCACTTAATACCATTTTAAACTTGAAGTGGTGTAACTTATGGCCTAATTTCCCACTTAACACCATTTTAAACTTGAAATGTGTATGCTTTGTCATTGCCCAAATGAGAAAAACTTGCTTTGATCCATAATGGATTGAAGTGTGCTTGCCTTGTCATTGCCCAACATGAGAAGAAAAACTTGTTTTGATCCTAATGGATTGAAATGTACTTGCCTTGTCATTGCCCAAAATGAGAAGAAAAACTTGTTTAATCCTTCAAGGGTATTTCTTCCTATTTTGTTGAGTCACACGCCATGTGTACAATTTGTACAACACGTGGCGTATGCCATGTATGCCTTGACACGTCAAAACTTTAATGCATTGGTGAACATTTGTTTTTTTTTTTACTGAAATTTTGATGTCTACAAATGCCCCCACTTCAAGGTGCGTCGTAGACATGTGCTTGACACGTGTAGAAGATGCGTTTTGAAGTCCCTTAATGTAGATGTCAACCCAAGGGCCGTCGAGGCTTGATCTTGAATTGGGCTGGAAATTTCTTCAAGGGCCATTGAGGCTTGATCTTGAGTTCGACTGGAAGATTTTCTGGTTTCCTCCAATCGTTGATTTTTCGCAGGCTTACTCTTGAACTGGGTGCAAGATTCTTTTGGTCTCCTCCACTCGTTGATTTTCCTTTGTGCTACTCTTGAACTGGGTAGCAGGATTCTTTTGGTCTCCTCCGAAGGTCTGAGCTTACTCCTTTTTTCTGTTTCTTTGTTCAATCTCTCCAATTCGTATTGAAGAGGGTTAGATGATAGCTCAGCATATGCAGTTGTAGCTTGTCTCCACATGCTTCAATGTATCATTTTCACTTGCCTTACTTGCTCCCCTTTGCAGAAGTGGTATTTCCTTATGCAGGTTTAGCATCTTCTTTTGTAGTATTTGTTCCTGATGCAGGAGTTGAATGCAAACCTTGCATTTGAATGGACCATCACTTCTTGGTGGCAGCGCAAGTTTGAGTGGAGGTTCCGACATATTGCTTTCTCTGTCCTTGTCTTGGCAGGTGAGAACAAGGGCAAAGGAAAAGGGGGAAAAGCATGATATGAGATACCTTTGCTTTCGCCCTTGATGATATGAGATACTTTTGCCTTGGTGTCATTTGTTTGCAAGGGCATTCTCGGAGAGGAAGAAAACTGAGCATTTTGAGATGCTTTGCTGGGAGTGTACTCTCGGAGGTGAGGAAGAGTTGGGCATTTTTTTTTTTTTTTTTTGTTTGCAGGTCTGCCTTGCCATAAAAGATGAAGGTCGACATATATAGGGATTTCCCAATAGCAAGTGGTGGTACTGTTCTTTTACCCTTGTCGACAAACGTTTTGATCCCGCAAATCCGGCTTTTTGAAATAGTGACGACTCTTTGATCTTTGAATACGCCTCTTTGATTTCTGAACGACGCCTCTTCGATTTCTGAACGAGCGCCTCTTTTGACAAAGCTGCACGCGTTTTCTGAAAAGCAGAGAAAGCGCCACTGAACTTTGCGCTTGTTGGCTAAAGATGTGTAGCTGCGATGATGACCTCCACGTGATCTTTTGACAAAGTGGCACCCGTGCTCTGAAAAGCCGAGAAAGCGTCGCCAACTTACGCCGGAAAATCCAACTTTTGAGATTTGCAGAGCGATGTCTCTTCACTTTTGAATAAGCGGCCCTTCGATTTCTGAACCAACGCCTCTTTGATTTCTGAGCAAGCGCCTCTTCCTTTTTATAGAGGTATTGATCACCTCTAACATGCACACTTTGAAGGTTGCTCATTCCTGAAAATCATCTCCGGCCTTTTGAGTTTTAACTCCATCCACCCATCTCTTTTAACACCTTTGAAAAATGGCTAACCCATCGAACCTTAGCTTAGAATTGAGTCTCAGCAGTGATCCGGTTGCGCCGTGTCAAGGTAATGTATGGTGCCCGTCTTTCTTATCTTCTAACGGTCCTCTTACAAGTGAAGACTCAGTGATGCAGAATGCAACAACAGCTACAATAGTAGCTAGGAACCTCCTCACACCAAAAGATAGTAGGCTGCTTTCAGGACGGTCCGATGAGTTGGCCGTTCAAGAGTCCCTCGCTCTCAGTGTTCAGTGTGCGAGCTCTGTGTCCAACATGGGCCAACGCCTGCTTGCTCAGTCTCGTCAAGTGGAATCATTGATGGCAGAGGTGGAAGATCTTAAGCAGGAGATTAAACAGCTTAAGTACGAGAATAGAAGTTTGCATGTGCTTGCAAATAACTATTCATCGGGCATGAAGAGGAAGCTTGATGAGATGCAAGAATCTCAAGGTCGAATGCAAAGTGACCATCAAAGGCTTGCGTCTTTCTTCCAGAGGCACCTTTTTCCTGGGTCATCCAGCGTTCCGCCAAGTATTGAGGCCTCGAATGCTCTATCTCCGATGCCTCTTGCTCCGATGCCTTCTGCTCCGATGCCTCCTGCTCCGAGAGTGTTGCCACGTAGTGGGGCTTCACGTACACATCCTTTGTGAAAGCTTCATCTTTTTTTTTTTTTTTTTTTTTTTTTTTACGCACTTGTAATTTCTCGGAGATCAATGAACATGCTTTATTTTATTCAGTGTATTGTGCTAAATACAGATAAAACATATACATCACCAAGATGTGTTATTTCCCTTTTTTTTTATTTTTTATTTTTATTTTGATGATGTGACTGTACTTGAAGTTTTGAAGTTTCAAGTTGCCTACGTACCCTTGGTTGAGGAGGGATCAAGTCATGACGTAGTTCAAATGAGTGATGGTTTTTTTTTTATGATTTTGCCGTACACAGTTTATGCTCTTGCGGGCCAGGAGCATTTGGTGCCGTTTGCTTTAGGGGTAGTAGCGCTTCAAAAATCTGCCGTTGATGGGGCCGATCTTCAACCCGTCTTCTGCCATGATTAAGTAGGTGCCATTGGTGTAGATCTCTTGTATTACGTAGGGTCCATCCCACTTTGATGTGAACTTGCTTTTTGTCTTATGAGTTGTAATGATAGGCCTACGCAATGCCAGCACGAGATCTCCGGCTTGGAAAGACCTTGGGCGGACTTTCTTGTTGAATGCCTTGGATAACCGTGCTTGGTAGCATTCTAAGTGTTGTTGAGCTTCGAGCCTTCTCTCATCCAGCGCTTCCAACTCCTGAAGGCGCAACTTTGCATTTTCTTCATCAGTCAAGCCTTCTTGTATAGCCATCCTTAGTGAGGGAATTTGACTTTCGAGTGGTAGAACAGCTTCTACGCCATATACGAGAGAATAAGGTGTAGCTTGGGTAGGAGTTCTATGTGTAGTCCTATATGCCCAAAGTGCTTCACTTATTCTTTCATGCCAATCTCTCTTTGTTCGGCCGATTACCTTTTTCAGGAGGTTGCACAGCGTTTTGTTGAATGCTTCCGCGAGGCCGTTGGCCGGAGCATGATACATGGAAGACTTGTGCTGCTTGAACTTGTATTTGTCGCAAAGCTCGTCCACGAGTCGGTTGGAGAACTGCTTTCCGTTGTCAGTGATAATGTAGCAAGGCACCCTATATCGGTGGATGATATGCTCCTTGATGAAACGAACAACAGTTTCCTTTTTTACTTCCCTTAAAGGGATGGCTTCAGCCCACTTGGAGAAGTAATCTGTTGCAGCTAGGATGTAAGCTTCCCCTGCAGATGACTTTGGCGTAATTGGTCCTACAACGTCCAATCCCCATGCGTCGAACGGCCATGAAGCAACTGTAGGGTGTAATGGTTCAGGCGGTTGATGTATGAAGTTGGCGTGGAATTGGCAGGCTTGGCACCTTTTGGCGTGTTCCAGGCAGTCCTTCACCATGCTCGGCCAGTAGTAACCCATTCTTTTAAGCCGGAAATGTAGCTTTGGTCCAGACTGATGTGCCCCACACACACCTGAATGTGCTTCTTCCATGGCTAGATTAACTTCTTCCTCACCTAGGCATCTCAGGAGCACTCCTTCAAAAGAGTGTCGATAGAGTGTTCCTTTGTAGTAAAGGAAGCGAGGTGCTCGTCGATGTATTTCGGAACGGTGTCTGAGATCATCTGGAAGCTTTCCGTGCTCTAAGTAGTCGATCAGCGGCTGTCTCCACTCTTCAGCATCAACTGGAAGTACTGAGATGACATTTGTATCATCTAGTGACATTTCATTAACGAGCGGAATCACCCATCTTTGGCAAACTGGCACGTCTGCAACTTCATCTTTTCCTAGTGTCATACTCGAGGCTAGATTGGCGAGAGCATCTGCCATTTGATTTTCCTTTCTTGGCACATGTTCCAGTGTCACAGCTTCGAACTTTTGTAGCAGTTGGGTCGCTAGCCGGAAGTATGGGACGAGATCATCTTTCCTC